GGGAAGGGAGGCGGGAAAATTTGGGAATTTTTTGGATGGGGATTTCTGGGGTGGGAGTGGAAATTTTGGGGAATTTTTGGGAAGTTTTGGGAATTTTGGGTAATTTTTGGGATGGGAGGAGAAAATTTGGGATGGGAGGAGGGAAATTTTAGGAATTTTTGGGAGGTTTTGGGAATTTTTAGGAATTTTGGGGAATTTTTAGGAGATTTGGGGAATTTTGGGATGGGAGGAGAAAAATTTGGATTGGGAGTGGGAATTTTTGGAGGTTTTGGGAAATTTTGGAATTTTGGGGAATTTTGGGGGGAATTTTGGGAGTTTTTGGGGAATTTTGGGGATTTTTGGGATGGGAGGAGAAAATTTGGGATTGGAGGAGGGAATTTTTGGGAATTTTTGGGAATTTTTGGGGTGGGAGCAGGAATTTTGGGAATTTCGGGGAATTTTGGGGAATTTTGGGAAGTTTTGGGATAGGAGGAGGTGGAAATTGGGAAGTTTTGGAGAATTTTTGGGAGGTTTTGGAGAATTTTTGGGAATTTGGGGAATTTTTGGGATGGGAGATGAGAATTTTGGGATGGGAGGTGAAAATTTGGGATGGGAGGAGGGAATTTTTGGGATTCGGGATTTGGGGTTTTTGGGATTCGGGACGGGATTTTTGGGATGTGGGATTTTTGGGATGTGGGATTTTTGGGATTCGGGATTTTTGGGATTCGGGATGGGACTTTTGGGATTAGGGACTGGATTTTTGGGATTCAGGACTAGATTTTTGGGATTCGGGACTGGATTTTTGGGATTCGGGATTTTTGGAATTTGGGATCGGATTTTTGGGATTAGGGACCGGATTTTTGGGATTTGGGATCGGATTTTTGGGATTCGGGATGGGATTTTTGGGATTCGGGATCGGATTTTTGGGATTTGGGATTCGGGATTTTTGGGATTCGGGATGGGATTTTTGGGATTCGGGACCGGATTTTTGGGATTTGGGGTCGGATTTTTGGGATTTGGGATTTTTGGGATTCGGGACCGGATTTTTGGGATTTGGGATTTTTGGGATTCGGGATCGGATTTTTGGGATTCGGGATCGGATTTTTGGGATTCGGGACCGGATTTTTGGGATTCGGGACCGGATTTTTGGGATTCGGGTCGGATTTTTGGGATTCGGGTCGGATTTTTGGGATTCGGGTCGGATTTTTGGGAATTGGCGCCCATTTTTGGAATTTGGGATCGGATTTTTGGGATTCGGGATTTTTGGGATTCGGGACCGGATTTTTGGGATTCGGGTCGGATTTTTGGGAATTGGCGCCCATTTTTGGGATTCGGGAC